TTTATGTCAGCTGCGCCTCTTGAATTCGTACCAAGTTGCTGAAATTAAATTGAAATTAGAAAATACCAAGCAATTGAGAACTGAAATTATCATCCCTTGTACACTTTCTAAGAAATTGATTGCTTTTTAGTGTGAAGACAACATTCTCACTGCCCTATACACTTTCTAATCATTTGGTTGGCCTATCAAATCAAATTATCAATTACTGTTAAATCAGTTACTGTTTGAAGATTCATAATTTTAATAAGCTTTGAATAATGGACTTGGTAGTTGGTATTTTAATAAGCTTTGAATAATGCATAATTATTTAATTTTTCATTTTAATTAGCTTTGAATAATGCATAGTTATTTAATTTGTCAATTTAAATATGTAATTAATTTAAATATGTAAATATAACTGGTTGTCTAAATCCATATTTGTTGTCTTGTTAATTATTGTAGGATTCTTGTCGTCGGAAGGATAAGGATCTATTAGACCATCAACAACATCAAAAACATGCGGTAAAGATCCATGTTGGCTATATGGAGAGAGATTTGGTTCCGAAACAAATAAAGTTAAATGAAAATATTGCACTCAAATTCTCAATGGCGGGATTAGCCGATTCAAACAACACCTAGCCGGAAAGAGGGAAAATTACGTGCCGTGTGTGAAAGTTCCCGTTGATGTTAAGGCAAAAGTTTCTGAAATTATAGATAATACAAAAAAGAGTAATGATGAGAAGGAGATAAAAATGCATAACTTATTGAGTGAGGTGCATATTGGGGAGGATGAGGAGCATAACTCAATCTCATTGAGTAGTCAAAGAAGTTCATCATCCTCTCACAAGGTAGTAGGACCAATGGACTCCATCACTGCTCATTCTCCCGAGGAGATTGCACAAATAGTAGCAAAGAGGAAACAACCGACGGTGGACTCCAAGCTTAAAAAGAAGAAAAGGGAGGGTGTATTGAGATACATCTCCAAATGGATTGTACACCGGGGAGGTGGAACCAGTATACATACTTGTGTTTGTGATGTTCATTTTCTGAGATTGTCATTCTTTCTTTGCAATTTATAATCTACTTTGCAAACTCACCCTCTAGTGTTTAAGTGTAAAGCTTCTACAGATTTTTATAAGAGCGCACTATATTCTTAAGGGTCTATAGATTTTTATAAGAGCGCACTATATTCTTAAGGGTCACGATCCTACACTTGGTATACATAAGCAAAATCAGACCCTACATTTGGTATCAGAACAAGGTGAAAGATGACATCAACAAATACATCACAATTCAAAGAAGGTCATTCTATAAATCATCCACCAATGTTCGATGGATTGAACTACAACTATTGGAAGTGTCGAATAAAAATTTATCTTCAATCAATTGGCTACGAACTTTGGAGCATTGTGGAAACAAAATATGAGAAGGCAACCACTCCTTTCACGGAATGGACTACATCTCAAAGGAACAATGCAAACTTGGATTCTAAAGCAATGAATGTCTTATTTTGTGCTCTTGACAAGAATGAGTTCAATAGGGTGTCAACGGCCACATCCGCATATGATATTTGGCACACACTCGAGGTAACTTATGAAGGTACAAGTAATGTTAAAGATACTAATAATAATTTCATTTGTTATGGTTGCAATAAGCCAGGACATATAAAGAATGATTGTCACCTTCTAAAATCAATGTCAAAGTTTATAAAATTCAACAAGAAAAGGAAGGCTTTGACGGCTACATGAGATGATAGTGATGATTTGTCTTCGGATGAAGAAATCGAAGAAAAGGAAAGCGTTCATATGTGTTTTATGACACAAGATGAAGTAAGTGATAATGAAGAGCTTTTAGATGCTTTCAATGAATTATATGAAACATTTTTGAGATTAAAAGCTTCACATAATTTTCTTAAAGGTAAAAATAAAAGATTACTTGAAGAAATTTCTAATTTTAATTCTTCTACTATTTCTAATTCTCAAGTAATTGAATTGAAAGAGGAAAATAAATCCTTGCTTAAAGAAAATCATATTTTGACTAATGAGAATGTTTATCTAAAATCAGAATGCAATGATTTAAAAATTCGTATTAATGTTTTAGATAAAGATATTTCTTCTATTAAATTAAAATATGATGATATATGTTTGAATGTTAGTAAATTCAATAAAAGTAAAGAGAATTTTAATAATTTTCTCTCATTTCAAAAATCTTCAAACAATCATTTTGGCATTGGATTTGTTCCTAAATATTTTACAAAGAATGATTATGTTTTGAAGAATAATAATAAGAATATTCATGCTAAACAAAATAAGTATATATGGATTCCTAAGAATTTGAATATTCATGATAGGAATGATTATATTTCATCCTATACTTATGAAGTTTGCAATTCAAAAAATTATACTTATGTTAATAAATGGAAACCAAATTCCAAGTGGATTTGGATTCCTAAGGTCTAATCCTAATGATATAATATAAAAGGGTACCAAAGTGCTTAATATTTTTATTAAGGTACTCGGGGAAAATTTTTTTAACTAGAATTATGTTTATTTCTTTTTGTTAATGACAAAGAGGGAGTTATATAGAAAATTTTAAATTGTTTACTAATGCTTTGATGCAGGGGGAGTAAAAGATTTTATTTAATGATTTTATACAGGGGGATTAAAATTTTTATATCTTAATAACATATATTTGTCATCATAAAAAAAGGGGAGAATGTTAGGAATCTTGACCCCAAGATTAGTTTATTTTGATGACAAGAAATATTATATATTGTGTGTATTATGTGCTAACATTTATTTTCCAGTATCAGAGCTATATCAATAATTATATTCAAAGATATACTCAAGACATAGATGAGTTTAAGGCAAAATGAAGCAAAGAAGAAGATATACTTTATTGTCAAAATGTAATTTTATATTTTCTTTGCTTAGAAATTTGTACAAGCCTTGATCACTCACACACATGCACACATATAGTATTAGAACACACTAACACATGCTTAGTGTGTTGGTTAACAATAGAAATCTCCTATGTTAGCCATTAGAGTTTATAGATATTGAGTGAGTCTTAAAATATTTTATTTATACCCTTTATTAATTAGAATCTGAAAAAACATAAAAGATAAAAGTTGTAGGTCTCTTTAAGAGCTTTCCAACAAATCTTAAATCACCTTATTCTGATATCGGATGAGAAAGTTACAGTCAAAATACTAAAAAGAAAATTCCAGAATCTGTGAGTTTACAGTGTAGTCGACTACTATATCTTGTAGTCGACTACTAAGCAATTTTTTGACTTTACAGAGTCTGTTTAAACTCAGTGTAGTCGACTACTATGACTTGTAGTCGACTACAGATGCAGTTTTTCCAGATTTTAGGTTTTGAATAAGTGACTGTTTATAGCCGTTTTGTGTACGTTTTTAGGGGTTGAAAACTTATCTTTTCAAGGGCTATAAATAGGTTATAAGTTCAAAAACTTGCACAACTAATTCATACACATAAGATCAAACATTTGTGCATATTCACTCTCTAGTTTTCCAGATTTTCATGCTAAGTGTTTAGAAAAAGAGAGTTTCTGATATTGCCTTAGTTTCAATCATTCTTAGAGATTGTATAGGCAATATTCAGAGAGTTAAAAGAATCCTAAGCCACTGCTGCACTTCACTACACATTCAAGGCTTATAGGATCAATTGTGTTCTTGCTTCAAAAAGGATTTCTCTCGGGTTTGAGAGGGTTGATCTATTGGTTTAGATATTGGGTGGCAATTAGCATGGTCTTGTCAATTGAGTTTGCAATTTGCATGGTCTTGCAAATTGGTCAGGTTTGCTTTTGATTTTGTAAGGTTTCAAAATCATAGTGGAAACTCTCAAGCGGGATTTGCTTGGGGACTAGATGTACACCGGGGAGGTGAAACTAGTATACATACTTGTGTTTGTGATGTTCGTTTTCTGAGATTGTCATTCTTTCTTTGCAATTTATAATCTACTTTGCAAACTTACCCTCTAGTGTTTAAGTGTAAAGCTTCCACAGATTTTTATAAGAGCGCACTATATTCTTAAGGGTCACGATCCTACACTTGGTATACATAAGCAAAATCAGACCCTACATCCATTTCATACCGCCACGCTTCCCTCTTTCCATCAAATTGCTACAAGCCATTATCTTGTTTGGAAGTCATTTACAAGCTCCATCAATGTATGAATTGAGTGAGGCATATTTGCAGAAAGAAGTGGAGCAGACAAAAGAAATTGTTAAAAACTTCAAAAGGACTTGTGTTGTCAATGGTTGCTGGTTAATGACCGATGCCTGGAGTGATTGGAAGTCTAGAAGCATCATGAACATCGTTGTACATTCTACTGGGAGCGCTTGTTTTTTGTCGTCACATGATGCATCAGTCGATACACGATGCTCAATATATCTATGATTTTGTAGATAAGGCTATTGATTAGATAGGGGAGGCAAATGTGATGCAAATAGTCATTGATGGAGCTTCAAATAATATGGCGGCTTCTATATTATTGGTCGAGAAGAGGCCAAATATATTTTGGACGACTTGTGCTGCACACACAGTGAACTTGATTTTGTCCGATATAGCTAAGATAAAACCCATTCGTAATGCCATTTTAATAGGGGAGGAGTGTATCAGTGTTCTTATATAATCACACTAAGCCTCTTCAATTGTTTAGGGAGTTCACTAAGGGTGATCTTGTGAGACCAGGGGTTACGAGGTTTACTACAACATTCCTTTCTCTACAGTCATTAAGGGATCATAAAAATGAGGCAAATGTTTATCTCTGACAAATGGACAAAAAGGTATATTTTAATTGTATTCATTTTATTCATTTGCATTTATATTTCATTGATTGGATTTTTTTGTATGTTTGTAGGTAGCGGAGATAATTGCTAGCAATAAGTTTTGGGATAATATAGACTTTGCCCTCAAAGTATTCACTCCTCTAATGAAGGTTCTTTGAAGAGCGAATAGTGATAAAATCGATTCAATGAGATTTATATATGGGGACATGTTGGTGGCTATGAAGGAGTTGAAAGTGGCCTTTGGGGATGATGAGAAGAAGTACAATTCCATATTGAAAATGATTGAACCGAGATTTAAGAATAATCTTAGTGGAATGCTACGTAAAGTGGGCTACTTTTTGAATCCTTTTTTCTATTACCCAGCTTACACAGACATTGAAGGTGATGGAAGCTTCATGAAAGCCGTGGTGGAGTGTATGCATAGACTCTATTCCGATGACCATGTGACTTTCACAAAGATTGGAGATCTAATACCTAATTATCAAGAACGCCCAGGGTAATTTGGGAATCAATTTGCGTGGCAAGGAGCTACTAAGGGTGATTGTCCGGGTAAATTATGTTCTCGTTCAAATTAATTCATTGACCTCTTTTTTGAATTTATAAGATACTAATTTGTTTCATTAATGAATTGACTAGTTACTTGGTGCAGGCTTTATGGAAACGATACTCCCGAGTTGATGGAGGCTTTATGGAAATGATACTCCCGAGTTGAGGAAGATGACAATGAAGATTTTGGGCTTGACAACTATCTCCTCCGCTTGTGAAAGAAATTGAAGTACATTTGAGATGATAATATTATTTCTTAGATTTTAATCATCTTGTAGACTTGTATTGTAGTATTTGATGACTAGTTTTTTATGATGCTAATTCATAATTTTTTTTTGTAGATTTATACAAAGAAGAGGAATATGCTAACTCATAAAATACTTCATGATTTAGTCTTTGTCAAGTTCAATGCAAAGTTGAAGAACAAGCATGCCGTTATAGATAGAGATCCTTTAACCGCCTATGATGATGAGGAAAGGGTCTCCGAATGGTTGTTGCGTGAGGAGGGGAATAATAGTGATGATGAAGTATTCCCGGGAGAGTGTTTGACCTTTAGGCAAGTTGAAGATATTTCGAAAGCTAATACAATGAAGAGAAAGAGTGGAAGGTTGAAAATGTATAAAAGAAAGAAGTAGTTGGGATCATCTTCATCGAAAGGAAAAGAGCCAATGAAAGATGATGAGGAAGAAGAGATGGATGCGTTATTCACGGAGACAGATGAGAGTGATAATCTTACTTTCGATCACGATGAATATTGATTTTAGACTTTCTAGTTATCTTAGCTTTTATGTTATTATAGATTTTCTCTATGAATGTTAAAAAATTATAAACTATTTGTAGATTTAAAAACTTGTTTGTTTGTTTTGATTTGCTTATGTTTCTTTATGGATATGAATCTTGTTAGTTGTAATCTTCATTCTATATATTATATCTTATATGTTACTTGCTTTTTCTTTATATGCTATTCTATGTTTACTAACAATGTTTTCTTATTTTGTAGGTCAAACATCCGAATAGTTTAGATGCAATCGAGAATCAAATTTCTACAATCAGTTAGTGACCCTAGACATCATATATTATTTACTTTTTTTATATGTTTAGTCTGTAGAATTTATAAAGTATACTTAAATTGAATTTAGGAATGCTTAGATTATATTTAAGATATGATATTATACATATGCTCACCACCCAATATGACAATCCAATATTTAGTCCATGTCCCCGATATATCCCTGATTTTCCCTATACGACATGGTTTTCAGCCGTCGGACATAAACCAACATTCGACATTTAAAATCTTGTCTGCTTTATGATAAGGAACCATGCAGAACAAAAAAAAAGAAAAAGGAAAAGCTAGGATGGTCATTAATTATACAAAGGTTAATAAAGCCATCAAATTTGATGATCTCTTCATCCCTAATAGTGGATTGCTACTACATAGAATCCGAGATGCTAGATGGTTTAGTAAATTTGATGCAAAGTCTGGATTTTGGCAAATTAAAGTTAAGGATGAAGAAAGTAAAAGACTAACGATACATTTAGCTATCCTAATGGTGGGCATTATGAATGGAATGGTACGTCATTTGTGCTAAAAAATGCTCCTCAAATATTTTAGAAATGAGTGAATAGAATTTTTTGGGCATTTACTTTTTGTTGTTGTTTATATTGATGATATTCTTGTATTTTCAAAAACTAAAGAAGAGCATAAAGAACACTTGATAGTAGTAGTAAAAATATTGCTCAATCATGATGTAATTTTATCCCAAAAAAAGATAACTCTAATGAAGAAGATATCGATTTTTGGGAAAAAGAATTAAAAGTGGTCACATTGAATTATAAGACCATATCATTATAAAAATCAAAGAGTTCAAAGATCACTTTGAAACTCTAAAGGATCTACAAAACTTTCTTGGCTTATAAATTATGGAAAAAGTATATACCCAAGCTCTCTGAAAAAATTTCCTCACTTCAGCATAAATTAACTGAAGAAAAGTGAAAATACAAAAAGTTAAATAATAAAGGTGTAACCCGCTGGGACACGAAAAAGATCAAAATTACATTAAATGATGAGCAATTATAAGAAATTGCCAACATCAGAAAAGAAATAAAGGAACAAAAAAAAATCCTTTATCAACCACAATCTGGGGATACATTAGTCATATAGACTGATGCTTCATGTACACATTAGGCTGAAATGTTATTTGCACTTCCGCCAAAACATCCCCACTCCGTGTTGGTATCGGAGCCTGCATCAAAGGAAAAGATCAACCAATTGGATCTAGAAATATGTGCATATTGCTCTGAAAAATTTAAAGGTCTAGAAAAAATTATGCTACATATGATAAGGAATTATTAGCTATTAAAAATACTATTAATTCCTTGAAATATATTTGTTATCATCTGAATTCATTATTAAAATAAATAATCAAGTTGTTGCACAATTTCTCAAGAGAAAAGCAAACTCCCTAATAGAGAAAAATGAGCGTATAATTCGATAGTCCATGGAATTAAAAAACTATATTTATATAGTTTGTTGTATTCCTAGATTTACTAATATTTGTGCTGATTATCTCTCCAGGCATGGCTAGTTCATCTAAACAGTCTCCAGATAAAGATAAAGGCAAAACGCATGCACTAGTCCACCTCAAACAGAGGTAAAGGGGAAAGGTAATGAAACCTAACTCTCACTACAACTAGAAATAGCTGAAACCCTACATGAAAATTTAGGACCAGAAATAGAAAGAAGAGATATTCAAATAATATCTCGATTTCTTAGGAATCTTAGTAGCTTTGGAATTAAAGGTTATGATGAAGCTATTAAATCTCTATGCTCCATCATGAACTTTGAAGAAGCTGCTAGTAGAAAAAGATATACTCATGAATTAGTTGAATTTATAAAAATTATTACAACGCCTAATAATATCTATGAATGTCCATATTGTATCAGGTGCATCAAACATCATCAAGACCCCCAAAATGGAGGCAACTGAATGTCAGAATCTCTGACGATGTCAAGGGCAATGAAGAGCTAAAAAGAACAAATGTCAGAATCTCTAAGCTCAAATTCCAAAAATTTTAAAATGATCTTACAGGAAGTTAAGATTAAAGATTTGGCAATAAGCAAGATTAATGATTTTGTCGAACTTATCAACTATTTCAAGTTTGATATTTCAAAATATCAAGCTTAGAGGAAACTGAAAGATATGTTCGACAGCTATTAGAGGAACCTGATTGATGATCAAGCAATGCTCGCATATTTCAAAAAGATGAAAGATGATGGCATTAGTTCATTGTTCAAGTCAGCATCCCAAGTCATACTAAACCAGTATGATAGTCCAAGAGTATTAGCTAATTTTGAGCTTATATCCCTATACAAAGAACATACTCAGAAAGGTCTGGTTCATAAACTATATGTTGATAAAACAAGACCAGACGAATACATGTCCTTCATTCTTGAAATTTGTAGCTAGGCACTTAAGGACACTGGAAAATTCCAACGTGCTTTTGAGTTCACCATATGGTCTATGTGGGAAGAAATAAACTTGTTAGAACATTATCCTTCCTACCAGATATGACACCTTGATTCCCTAGTAAGGGAACCCCATTTCAGACATCCTTTTAATGAGAAGGAATATGATCTTGAAGAAGAAAGAGAACTTACTGCTATTATATTCTTTGAAGCATTACACCACTATAATATGAAAATGGTTATTACAGATTTTATTATCCTTTATCTCCATCATTTAATGTTTAAGGAATGATAGCTGCAAGAAAAGTTCAAAGAAGGAATGATCCTTGGTCCGATAGCTCAAAAAGCCAAGGAACAGTATGAATTGATGATGAGCGCTGAAGGAGGCACATACCCAGTACACTCTTTTGATTAGGACACCGCACCAGAGATAGATTGAAGCTTGGTGGGCCTAGGAAAAAACTGGAAGGTCTTTGAAGATGCTATAACATGCTACTCTCTTGTTAGAGCATTAGTGTATAACTTTTTGAGATCATGGTAAAATGTTTCTATATAAAAGCTTGTTCTATTATTTCTTCCCATGATTTTGACAGTCTATTGTTTCAAAATCTTCCCTTTTAATTTTATGGTAAGAGCATATTGATTTTTCTTTGTAAGAAACAGTTATCAACTATGAATCGCATTACTTTCAGCATTTTTACTAAATATGCTACTGTTTGTAACCAAAATTTCTTTTGTATACTTGCAAATGGATGCAACCACACCCAAATATTCCAAGGCGAGGTATGATGAAATCGTGAAGGAAGTATCTTCCTACCTCAAGAAGGTTGGCTACAAACCTGACAAGATCGCCTTTGTCCCCATCTTTGGATTTGAGGGTGACAACATGATCGAGAGGTCCACCAACCTCGATTGGTCGAAGGGCCCAACACTTCTCGAAGCCCTAGACCAGATCAACGAGCCCAAGCATCCCACCTGCTGTAAAATAAGAAACAAATAGTATAAATTTGAAATAAAAAGTTAGAAAATAAGGCTTGAATGGGAGCAGTCATGATCTGACTGTTTTAGAAGATTGAGGACCCGCCTATCGCCCTGGCACAGTCGATCCTCTCTCCCCTAGCGATAAAAACCTCCGGTTCAGCCGACCTTTATACTCAGACGAGAGCAATAGAGCTTAAGCTCAAATGAAGAAAGTTGCCCTAAAGAAAATAACACAATAGTCGAAACTGTAAAAAGAAGAATCTAGGAGAGAAGAGGTTCTTTCTGTTTTCTGTGTTAAACGAGGAGAAGAGTGCATGTATTTATAGAACTCCAAAGCTAGAGATTCATTGCTCCAAACCCTCACATGTTACGCCATATCTGCATAACCCCCGCGCCATCTCCGCATCCGTTATGAACGGGTCAAGCGGAAGAAAACGGTAAAAAATAAAAAACTGAGAAACAAAAATGAGCGTGTGTGCGGTGCGGCATAGCGTGGCACGCGCGCGTCATGACGTGGCAAGGCAAGGCTTAGCATGGCGAGGCGAGGCGCGGCGTGGCGTGCGTGCGCGCGCATGTGTGATAGCAATAGCCTAAACAATACAAGGCCAAAAAAACTTACTCAAAGCCCAATATGATGTAAAACATTATAAGCCTCTTACTATTCATCTCATCTTCCAATGTGGGACTATTCATAAAGGCAAAATTGCCTTTTTATGAACAAATATCCAACAATCCCCCTTAAAAGGCAATATTGACTGAAAACTCAAAATCAATAAATAAATCAATAAATCATAAAAAGGATATAGATTGGGCAACCTTTCGTATCGTGAATTGGAGAGAAGTAGCTTTCGGCTTTGAATCTTTCCTTAGTGAGTTCATCACCACCTGAGGGACATAATGGACTAGGCCTTGAATTAGGCCCCTTGAACCAGGTATTGATGAAAACACACACAATACGATTTCATCTATTAAGCAAAGTGGGTTGAACGTTAAAGGCCATGCTCATAATAACTGACTCATGAGAGTTTGTAGGGGTTAGCCCAGCCCCCCTAACCACGACCATCACGGTTCCTCTCATGTAGGTAAGTCCTCCAAGGGTACTACAGCTGGATATCAAACCCTTCGCATTACACGCGTTGGACTTATTAAGAGTAAAACTCAGCCTAACCAGCTATATCATAAGAG